ATTCCTGATAAAACTTTAGTGTGATTTAACCATCAGCCGTGGAAATAAAGAGCAGCTAATCTCAGCGTCTCAGTCAATTAACTGTTTAATGAGCTCAAGTATTGATTGAAGCCATAAAATGACAGACAGCACATATATCCTATGAACTTTGCAGTGTTTTCACTGGCAGACAAATGTCTTTGTGTGGTAACAAATTCTCTGTGTTGGGTTTTTTCCAGGGAGAAGACTGAGAATAATATAATTTACAGGGTGGATGACAGGTAAAGACTTTTATTAACATAGTGATTTGATACAGGGCAAAGATTAGGCTGCTGACGGTAATGACTAAAAACATCTGCTTCCTATAAAGTCCTTCAGTGAACCAGTAGAGAACCTGTCATCTTCATCACACAATCACTAGTTCAGAAACAGAGCTACCTCTAATAAGATTGAATTCATTTAATGTAACAATCTATAAAACAGAAAATAGGGTGACTCTGGTAATTCGAAAGAAAATATTTTTTACATTGTTTTTATTTAACAAATTTCCCAACTTGAAATTGCAGTTTTGTAATGCAAAAATTTAAAAAATATTTTAAATGACTATAATACAAAAAAATGTATTATATATTAAATTATATAAGATAATTAAAATTTACTATATCTATGTACCAAATTTCTCAGCTCAAAATTGCAATTTTGTAATGCAAAAACGAGAAATAAAAAATTTATTAAATTACCACAAAAATATTAAATTATATAATTAAAGTAATTTAAATTGACATATATAGAGTAAACAATGGCAACATGTGTTTCCATTAACCCATCAAAACATAAAGAGAAATAAAAATATATAATAAATATATAAAATTATTACTATAATACAAAAACATTTAATTGTATATTAAATTATATAAAGTAATTTACATTTACTATATCTATGTACCAAATTTCCCAACTCAAAATTGCAATTTTGTAATGCATAAACGAGAAACAAAAAACATTAAATCACTACAAAAACTATAAAATTGTATATCAAATTATATAATTAAAGTAATTTAAATGTACATATATAGAGAAAACAATGGCAACATAAGTTTTTCCACTAACCCGTCAAACAATAAAGAGAAATAATCAATATATCAAATATAAAAACATAGGCTATAATAAATATAAAGGTATATAAAATCACTATAATGCAAAAAAGTAAATTGTATTTAAATAATATAATTAATTTACATTTACTATACTGTTAAAAAAGGGTCAATAAGTGATGGCAACATGTGTTTTTCCATTAACCCATCAAAATAATGACAACTTTCTGTTATACAAGATTCAACTAAACCAGATTGAAAAAAAAGAAAAGTAAATGTACAGCCAATTTGATTATACTTAAACATGCAAGTCAGCAACTGAATTTAAGTTTTTAAGTTGAATTAGGTAGATATGTTTTGCTGTTATATATTTGTTGTACTGAATTTAATTTATAATCAAAAATAGAAAAATGTCATTGTGTCAGGACAGGATGTTTCACAACTCTTTGTGACAAACTAAAGGATTGTTTTCGAGTCTGTTTTTATGGCCGGTGGGCCGTTGGGATATTTTGTAATCCGGTTTAACCCCAGTCATATAGTCAGTGACTAGCAGTGGGAAAGGAAATCTGTCTGGATTTCACAAACCGGTGTCAGTTTTCCGTCACGCTTCAGTTTCAGAAACACAGAAATGTTGGTTTCAGTTTGACATCCTGAGATGAGTCAGTGAAAATCCATTATAACTCAACAGGATCAGAGATCACACGTCACGTCGTTCTCTGAGGAACAGCTCAGCCTCCAGACGCTTGTTCACACCTTGTACTGACTGAAGCTGTGAGATGTTCTTGCTGTCAGTTTACCCGCAGAGACAGTCACACAGATTTGAATAGAATAGATGTGAGGGAAATAACGTTCATACCTCTGTCCTCTCTTCTATATATTCCCTGTCTGACTTTAATGAACAGTGTCAGCACATGTACTATAGTTGTTAAGCACTCTTCTGTTTTAGTGTGTGGTTTGCTGTTGTCTGCAGAGTTTTATTGGATCCATGAAGTCTAATGTGACCGTAGGGCTGAAATATATCTGAACACAGCATGAGACGGGCTCATAACACAGAAAATATCACCAGGTCCAGATGACCAACGCCAGGGTTCAACTATATCCTCCATCAACCTCTATCAGTCTTTCCATGGCCTCCTTCTTGATTCTTTCACTTTTCTCTGTTTGATTAGTGCTTATTTGTCTGTCATCATCATTATTTTTATTTCATTATTTTCGCACATTTCCAAACTCTCATTAATGTAATAGGATAAAAACAAGTAAAAAAATACTATATATATATATATATATATATATATATATATATATATATATATATATATATATATATATATGTGTGTCTGTCGTGGGGTATATTTGTAGCAATAGCCAACAATACATTGTATGGGTCAAGATTATCAATTTTTCTTTTATGCCAAAAATCATTAGGATATTAAGTAAAGATCATGTTCCATGAAGATATTTAGTAAATTTTCTACCGTAAATATATCAAAACTTAATGTTTGATTAGTAATATGCATTGCTAAGGACTTCATTTGGACAACTTTAAAGATGATTTTCTCAATATTTAGATTTTTTTGCACCCTCAGATTCCAGATTTTCAAATATTGTTCTATCCTAACAAACCATACATCAATGGACATAAATCTCCATTTTGAAAAATTGACACTTAAGACTGGCTTTGTGCTCCAGGGTCATATACTCTCTATATATTCAATCATATCATGAAACTGTATTATTGTTAAATATATATATTTATTTTTTATATTTTGTAAAATATTTTAAAATAAATATTGAAATTTATCTAAAATATTTTTTCAATAGGCTATTTATTTAGATTATTTTATTTTATTGACATCATTTTAATCTGGGAAGAAAGACCAGACTGGAATATTAATTTCTTCAGAACTGTACTTAAACTATTTGTTGATGAATTAATGTACATTTTTAAATCTATCTATAACTTTTACATTGTTAAATTGAGTTGCTGTGTGTTTGCATGACATTAAATGTTTATGCTTTTTTTATTGCAATGATGGCATGTTAAAACTTATGTGTAAATTATTCAATATCCTGAAGCATGTTTCTCTGAAATTTTATCTTCAAGAGTAACTTTATTTAAACTGTTTGTTGATGATATAATGTGCACTTTTAAAATTAAACAACTGCATGTTGCATGAAGCTACATAAACCAATGCATAAAGTTTTATTTTCTAACATATTATCTCAGACACTGAGATTAAAAAATAACACTGCGTTCCTCAGAGATCTGAATGATCATCCGAAAAAAACAAACAGCAAAATATTTGCAAACAGACATTTCACATCACTTCTCCTTTCAAAATGTGTTTTTTAAAGCACCCCGGGCTAAAATAACCCAGAACCATTGAGGACGTTGTGCTGTCCAAATAAAATACAGTCATGTTGTTTTGCTCTGTCGGCCCCCCATAAACCCTGACCCGTCCCCCAATCGTCCATCTGGTTTCTTTAAAACACTCCGAGCTAATGACGGTTTTCCTAGAGATCCTGTCAGTTCAGAGCCTCTCGTCGTCCGTCTGATTGCACGGCAGGGGCCTCACTTTGGGTCCAGGAATTCAGACTCCTCGGGGCCACGGGGCCCGTCTAACAAACATGCTCGGCTGCTCATCACATCCACGGATTCCCATCACTGGACACAACACATGTGAGTGTTTCCTAGTGTCCCAGAGAGAGAGAGAGACTGAATAATAAAAGAATGATAGAAGTATATATTGAAAGAGTGATAGATAGATAGATAGATAGATAGAAAGACTGATAGAGAGACAATGATATACTGAAAGAGTGATAGATAGAGAGAAAGACTGATAGAGAGACAATGATATATTGAAAGAGTGATAGATAGATAGATAGATAGATAGACAGATAGATAGATAGACAGATAGATAGAAAGACTGAGAGAGACAATGATATACTGAAAGAGTGATAGATAGATAGATAGAATGATAGAGAGACAATGATATATTGAAAGAGTGACAGATAGAGAGATAGATAGATAGAATGATAGAGAGACAATGATATATTGAAAGAGTGATAGACAGATAGATAGATAGATAGATAGATAGATAGAATGAGTGATAGAGAGACAATGATATACTGAAAGAGTGATAGATAGATAGATAGACATAGATAGACATATAGATAGACAGATAGATAGATAGATAGAAAGACTGATAGAGAGACAATGATATACTGAAAGAGTGATAGATAGATAGATAGATAGAAAGAGTGATAGAGAGACAATGATATATTGAAAGAGTGATAGAGAGATAGACAGACAGACAGACAGAAAGAGACGGACAGACAGAAAGAGACAGACAGACAGACAGACGGATAGATAGACAGACAGAAAGAGACGGACAGACAGAAAGACAGACAGAAAGAGACAGACAGACAGACAGACAGACAGACAGACAGACAGACAGACAGACAGACAGATGATGTATTCAGGCGCACAGGTGTGTGAAGCTGCAGCAGCAGCCCGTCTCTCTGTGGTTCAGACTCTAATGAGTTTAATCTGAGGCGAGCGTCCCGCTGCTCACTCCTCTAAGGGACGGGGGCCCCGCACTCACATAACGCTTTAATTATAGGGCCTCTGTAATCAGCCGCTAATGGGCCAAATCCTATTATGAGAGAGGAGGAGCGGAGACCTGCTGCTGCTCACAACACAGATGAACACACCTGAGACACCGCAGAAAGAGACGGACAGACAGACAGAAAGAGACAGACAGAAAGACAGACAGACAGACAGAAAGACAGATAGATAGACAGACAGACAGACAGATAGATAGATAGATAGATAGATAGCTAAACACATGATCTGACTGACACTCGCGCGCGCTCCCGCCCCTCACTGCGCGTTCACAGTGATTATCGGACACAGCGGCGCGCTTCCCTGACATTAATGACCGCGCGCACGTCTCTCCTCGCGTTAAACGACAACGGGAGCCTTCAAGCGGATTTACGAGCGAAACCACAGTTGATTTCTGCGTTCGCGGACGGAGCTGCGCCGGGGACATGCAGAGACACGGAGGCGAGCGTCAGCAGCGATAAAACGCGCAGGTAAGACGCGCTTGACGCAGAGATGCGGTGCGCTTTCGATGCGGTTCCGCTGGGTTTGTCTTTGTTCAGCGGCTCTCTGTGGATCAGCTCAGGCTGGATCTGGGTTTCACGACTGTCCTGCTCCAGATTCTTGGGTTTGTCTTTGTTTAATTAACGTCAGATATATGAATCTCTCCGGTGCATTCATATGATCGATGCAATCCTACAGCAACACAAAATGCGCTTTGCATGCATGCAGTGCCTCTTACCAATGAGTGCAACATCATGCGTGAATGCAGTGCATATGAATGTCAGTCAAAATAACAGCGGTAGACATACTCAGTAAGCTCAAAACCTTGTGAGCTGTCTACGTTGACAGCGTTCTGGCAATCATATGCTCACTGGAGCTATTTATTTAAATATTTAGTCAATCCTAGTGCACCAATACAGGAGATGAACGCAAGTAGACTATTGCATGAGTCTTTTATATGCTGTGCTGTACATTAATGTGAATGTCAGTCTTTTAAATGCATGCCTGTGTCTCAAAACTGAGTATATTGTCTATGCAGACATCATTTTTTATGTTCAAACCTAGTGAGCTGCCTGTCTAGAAATCATTTTGGACCTAATGGTATCAGAATCTAGTAGACTGTTTACCTAGACAGCATTTATATGGGCATTATAGGCCTGCAATCTAGTGAGCTTTCTACCTAAAGTCAATTTTGGGCATCATAGCCTCTCAACCTAGTGAGCTGCCTATCTAGAAATCATTTTTAGACCTCATAGTATCAACATCTAATGCGCTGTTTACCTAGACAGCACTCTTAAACTTTATTGTGTTTTCTACCTAGACAACCTTTTTGGGCATCACGGTTTCAAAACCTAGTGAGCTGCCTATCTAGACATCATTTTTAGACCTTATAGTATCAAAACACTGGACAGTTCAGCTAGACAAACTTCTTGGACAACATTTTGAGAATTGTAGTCTCAAAACCTAGTAAGCTGCCTACATAGACAGCAGCATATAGTCTCAAAACCTAGTGAGCTACCTACTGTATCTAGACATCAATTTAAGGTCTTGTAGTATCAAAATCTATAGTGTGCTGTTTACCTAGACAGCGCTTATGGGTATCATACTCTTAAAATGTAGTGAGCTTTCTAACAAGAAGCCATTATTGGCCATCATAGTCTCAAAATCTATTTATTGAGCTGCCTGCCTTGACGGCATTATAAGCATCATAGTCTCAACACCTAGTGAGCTGCCTTTCAAGACATCATTTTTGGATCTCATAACATTTAGTCAGCTGTATACCTAGGCAACATTTGCGGGCATAAAAATCTATTGAGCTGCCTAGACAGTATTTTGGCCCTCATACAGTAGTCTCAAAACTAGTGGTCGACCGATATTGGTTTTTTGACAGCCGATGCCGATATAATTGTATTTCTTTTAATTAATATTTAAGAAATTTGAAATCATTTGAAAATGGATTTAAAAATAAGTTTGTAAAATAAACATACTTGCACATTAGATGACAAAGTATTTTCCACAAATAAATATTTTTTATAATTTTATAATTAAAAAGGAAGTAAACTGTAACCAACAGAGCACTCCGTATTCTGGGAAGTTTGTGTGCATTGGGAATCATATTTTTTCAAATAAAGCCAAGGTAATACTCATAACACACATCATACATACAGCACACAGTGAAAATGACATGAATATGATAGTGGGCAAGTGCAGCATAATTTGAAATCACGAATTTATGTTTAAAGCATTCAATTTGCACGGACCGAAAGCGACGCAGAGAACACGCGATCATGCAGGTCACATGCACACTTCACAAGATCTCACAACTGGATTCGAGGTTTGTGAAATAAAAGTTTCATTAGCCATTCAAAGATTTGTTTAAATTATGTAAATGAGTATTTGCTGACGGCAAACGAGAAAGTATTTTAATGTTTGCCTTTCTATTACTAATAATATAAAAGCAATCGTTATAATACTTTTTGTATACATTTTAATTTCTTTTTTTAACAATTCTATCAGATTATTAGACCGACTTCTATCCGTATTAGACAGAACTGAACGATGACAGCGAACAAGAGGGAGAATGTGAGCACTGTGTGCTCATGCACTGCCGCACTCAGCGTCGTCAAAATAAAAGTCCGGCGCGCCGTCAAAATACGAACGCATCGACCAAACAGAAAAACTTATCGGCCGATGCCGATATTTGAAAAATGCCAAATATCGGCCGATATATCGGTCGACCACTACTCAAAACCTAGTGAACTGCCTAGCTAGCTAAACATCTTTTTTGGACCTTGCAGCATCAAAATCTTTTAGACTTTTTACCTAGACAACAATTTTGGCCATCATAGTCTCAAAATCTAGTAATCTATATAGACATCATTTTTGGACCTTGTAGTACCTTGTAAGCTGCCTACCTAGGCAGCATTTTGAGAAACATATTTTCAAAACTAGTAAGCTACCTGCTGTATCTAGACATCAATTTTAGACCTTGTAGTACCTGCTGTTTACCTAGACAGCATTTGTGGGTATCATACTCTTGTAGCTTGCTTTCTACCTAGAAGCCATTATTGGCAATCATAGTCTCAAAACCTAGCAAGATGCCTACCTAGACAGCATTTTGAGCACCATAGTCTCAAAATTGAGTTGCCTTCCTAGACAGCATTTTTTGGACCTCGTAGTAAGAAAATGTAGTGGTCTGTTTACCTAGAAAACATTTTTTGGTCATTAAAATCTAGCCTACTTAGACAATATTTTCAGTATCATCATCTCAAAACCAAGTAAGCTGCCTATCTAGACATAAGTTTTGGACCTTGTAGTATCAAAATCTATTTGACTATTTACCTAGACAACAGTTTTGGCCATCATAGTCTCAAAATCTAGTAACCTAGACATCATTTGTGGACCTTGTAGTACCAAAACCTAATGAGCTGCCTACCTAGACGGTGTTTTTGGCATTATAGTCTCAAAACCTGGCTCTCTATCTAGACATAATTTTTCAACTTTGTAGTATCAAAATGTAGTGGTTTGTTTATCTAGACAACATTTTTGGGCATCGTGAGCTGCCTACCTAGACAGCATTTTGGGCATCATAGTCTCAAAACCAAGCTGCCTATCTAGACAGCATTTTTAGACCTTATAGTATCAAAATCTAGTGAGCTGCCTATCTAGACAACAGTTTTGGACCTCATAGTATAAAAATCTTGGTGCTGTTTACCTAGACAGCATTTATGGGTATCACACTCCTAAGATGTAGTGTGCTTTCTACCAAGAAGCCATTATTGGGTATCATAGTCTCAAACCCTAATAATTAGATTTTGATTTTGAGTTACCTTTCTAGACATCATTTTTGGACTTCATATTATGAAATTGTAGAAGTCTGTTTACCTAGACAGCATTTTTTGGCCATTAAAATCTAGCCTACCTAGACAATATTTTCAGTATCAGCATCTCAAAACCAAGTAAGCTGCCTCTAGACAACATTTTTGGTCATCGTGAGCTGCCTACCTAGACAGCATTTTGGGCATCATAGTCTCAAAACCAAACTGCCTATCTAGACATCATTTTTAGACCTCATAGTATCAAGATCTGTGTGCTGTTTTCCAAGACAGTATTTATGAGTCTTAAAACTTAGTAAGCTGTCTACCTGTAGAAGGCATTATTGGGCGTTATAGTCTGAAATCATAGCCTACTTACTACTTAGACAGCATTATAGGCAGCTGCCTTCATAGCGAGTTGCATTCATAAAGGGGTTTTGATCATCAAATGCTAAAAATGCTTTATATTCGCTGGTTCAGCAGTGCCATATTTGTTCATCTGTTTCCAGCGATCAAAGGGTGTTAGATCATGTCCACTAACTAGGGCTCATCTCGATAATTTGTCGTTATTGTGAGTGTGTGACGCTGCTAATGTCTAGGCTCAGGAAAACAGGAATATAATCCATTTTCATTGAGTTAAAGATCTTTAGGAGCCGCAGCGATGGGGTGTCAAGCTGTGAGCCCTTCATAGTTCAAATCCATTAAAGCCGATATGGATTATTGCGTTTCATAACGACGGGCTATGAATAGTGTCCTGCTTGTAAGGGGTTTTATTGCCTCGAATTTCACTAGAAATGCAAAGCATCGTGGGGAGCTCGCAGAACCGGTTTTATATGTGATTGTGATGGTTGACAAGTGAAGCCGTATATGAGCGTTTGTTTCCTCTAACACCTGTTCATTTTCTGTTATGAATTACCGACTGGTGATTATTTGTGTACATTTTAAAATTAGCATCCTAATGAGGGTATAATGGGGTAGGCAGCATCATCAAAATCTTTTTTTATGTTAACTGCAGAACAAGAATGACTTATAAATATGATTTAATGTTTTATATGATTATAATATATTTACTTTGTTTATTTTATATTACATTATTATTTATTATTATATTGTTATATTATACTATATCAAGTCACTGCAGAACATGGACTATAAATATATTTTATACTTTATACATTATATTTTATATTATTTTTATATTTTATATTATTAAATTATATTTACTTTGTTTATATATTTCTATATTACATTATTATATTGTTATATTATACTATATTATCAAGTCACTGCAGAACATGGACTATAAATATATTTAATATTTTATACATTATATTTTATATTATTTTTATATTTTATATTATATATTTACTTTGTTTATATATTTTTATATTAAATTATTATTTATTATTATATTGTTATTGTACTATATTATCAAGTCACTTCAGAACATGGACTATAAATATATTTAATATTTTATACATTATATTTTGTATTATTATTATATTATTTATTTTTATATATTACATTATATTTAAAATTGTAATATTTATGTTTTTATATTATATAGTTTTGTTATCAGACATATTGTATTATACTCTATTATAGAAATGCTTCCATAAGTAACACAAGCAAATACATTTTTTTAAAGATACTGCAGAACTATAAATACAAATTAT